ATTTAATAACCCAGCCATCTCCTAATCATCAGATATGAGCCTTCCTTTATTATCCCTCAAGGGTCCTACCCCCCATCTTAACATTTTGTGTACTCTTAATGTATTTTTAAAAATCCTTACTGTTAATTTTTAATTTTCAGCCAACCTTTTTTCAAACATCCTTTTTGATATCCTAATTTCCTGTTTGACCAACTTTCTTGTTCTTGTGTAATCTTCTAAATCTCCCATCATACCAGTCAATTTAAATTTCTTTGTGATGCTTTTCTTTAATTTTATCCCTTATACCCTTTGTGAGCCAGCCTAGTTTTTTGCTTGCAGCCCCCATTTTCTTTCTATATAGAATATTTTTATCTTGAATATTTAAAAAAATTATATTTAAAAAACTTTCCACATTTCATCAGTGTCTCCAAATAACTCAGCTGCCTATTTCACAAAATATATTTTTTGTTACATCCCTTCAAAATTTACTTTTTTGAAATATCTATTCCTTATCTCCATATGTAGCAAGACATTCAAACTTAATAAAGCAATGATCACCTATGCCCAGATGTTCCCCAATTTCTATGCTCTCAACCATTTCTATATTAGAAGCTAACAATAAATATTAAAGTAGCATTGTTTCAAGTAGGTTCCTTGACCATTTGGTGAAGAAAACCATTGTGAACAATTTCCAAAAACCTTTCTCCCTCATGGTTTGACTCTAGCATTTCCCAATTTATATGCCTGAAATTAAAATCACCCATAATTATGACCTCATTAACAGCTGAAATCTTAATCTAACTGTGAAGCTTCTCCCTAATTTCATCAATATCATCTGGTGGTCTGTAACAAGTTCCCACTAAAAGCCTTTTCCCTTTATATCCACTAATAGAAACCTAATGGATTCAACCTGCTTGCTATTATCTTTCATACCCTCAACTGCAACAGGATGTAACTCACATTTTACATATAAAGCCACTTCTCTTTAGTACTCTATTCTCATTTAATAATCTATAACCCTGTTATTCCAAGAAATTATGTCATCAAAATTGACTACATTTAACCATGTTTTCAGTTATTCCCATTATATCCAAATCATCCATCCCTACCAGCACTCTAAAGTCATCTATATATTTTATTTCTTATAATTCTAGCATTACAATAGTAACATGTAAGCCTACACTTAGAACTACATCTATACACAATGCCTATAACGAACTTTTCTCTACTTGTTATATTTTTGTGCATATATTTTATCATGGCCCTTACCACTGTCTAGTCCTAATTTAAAACTTTCCTTACAGCTGAGTTAATAGCCCTTGTAATCAAGCCAGCCCCTACCCTATTTAAATGTAATCCTTCTGTTCCAAAAAGCTCCCTTCTTCCATTAAACTGAGCTAACATGTCCAACCAGCTAATCTGTTCATTCTTACATATTAACCTAAGCCTAACATGCAGCCCTAGTGACCTACTTGTAATTTACTCCCTACAATTAATTCTCAACAGTATCCCTGACAAAATTAAGTTCTGGCCCTTTTCTTCAAATACTTTTACCAACTCTTTGTACTTATTAATTAGCTCCTCTGACCTACCTTTCCCTACATCATCAGCCCCTATGTGCACAACAGTGTGCATCATTGCTAGCCCCTTTATTATATCTCTTGCTTTGTCAGTTATATTCTCTGCCTGTTCCTCTGGGTAGCATATGCTACTTTGTTTCTCCCTATTCACCACACATGTTGGTTCAAGCCGCCTTACTCATTTATTTGTACTTTATGTTGGCTGAAGCAGCCATACTGTTTAATTTTTAACCAGTATGTTGGATCAAGTAGCCTTACTGAATAATTGTAACGAATGTGTTGAATCAAGTAACCATACTGTTTAATTGTAACCAATGTATTTGATTAAGTAGCCTTCCTGTTTAATTGTAATCAATGTATTGGTTCAAATAGCTTTACTGTTTAATTGTAACGAATGTGTTGGATCAAGTAACCATACTGTTTAATTGTAATTAATGTGTTGGATCAAGTAGCCTTACTGTTTAATTGTAATGAATGTGTTGGATCAAGTAGCCTTACTGTTTAATTGTAACCGATGTATTAGTTCAAATAGCTTTACTGTTTAATTGTAATAAATGTGTTGGATCAAGTAACCGTACTGTTTAATTGTAACAAAAGTAATGGATCAAGTTGACTTATGGTTTAATTGTAACCATTGTGTTGGATCAAGCAACCTTACTGTTTAATTGTAACCAATGTATTTGACCAAGTAGCTTTACTGTTTAATTTTAACCGATGTATTAGTTCAAATAGCTTTACTGTTTAATTGTAATAAATGTGTTGCATTAAGTAACCGTACTGTTTAACTGTAACAAAAGTAATGGATCAAGTTGACTTGTGGTTTAATTGTAACCATTGTGTTGGATCAAGCAACCTTACTGTCTGACTACATAAATTCACATACAAGTTTTTAGTAAAAATGATTAATTAGAAAATTGATTTTTTATGTACAAAAGACTTGTAATATTTACTAGAAGCTTGTCAACTTTCGTAAGCGTACACTAAAGTTGTAGTATGTATAGTTTGATGGTTGCAAAAAGACCAAGCGTGTATAGAGAGAAATTACCTCAGCCTAAAATAAATTACTTCAGCATTTCTTTCCATGGTTAACAAATGGAAGATCTGGTAATGTTGCATGTTAGGAAATAAGGTTAAATACAGTCTGGCATTGTTGGTAACTTAGATTGCTGTCTATCTCTCTTCTTCTTCTTCTTCTTTTGTGTGTTGGTAATGAATTTATTTTTTCTTATTTAGGTGTTTTCAGAGAAAATGGGACTCGAATCTGGCTGGAATTGCCATATTTCTCTTTTCAGTGAGCGATGTAGGTAGGCACACATTTTTGCTAACTTAGTAGAAAATCTGTAATGGAAGTATAGTGACAGATATCTGTCTGTGCTGAAAATATTTTTTACAAACTGGGATTACTAAATGTAATCCTGGTTTTTTAAATATGAAAGTATTTTAACTGCCTTTATGCCCAGCTGTTGAACTCCAACTAGAATCATATTGTTAGGTGTCTTTCATTTTGTCTCCTGCATGACTGTTTCTTCTCAACCTTTTACTGATAGTGACTCTAACAATCTTATTGCTGTATTCCACGTATACAAATTTGAATATTTAAAGCATATTACTTAGGAAAACAGTGGAGTTAAACTATAACTACTAAAGTAAAATAGAGCCAAGAGAAACCAGTTACAACCACTAGCAAACAAAATTTCCAAATTAAATCAAGCTGTAAAAGGAGCTGTTGGTCCAACAAACACGTTTCAACTAAAATTTATGATCATCTGCCAGAATTTCCAACATAAATTCTTAATATGCAGAGTTAATCATTAGCACTGAAAATATGAATTTTTGAAATTAAATATATTCATTTATACTCATGAAAGTTCTTCATTATTATGTATATATTTCTACCATTATGCATTTCCTTTCAGTTCTCTAGAATTCTTTCTTGTCTGAAAAATGTAAGTTCTCCATGTTTACTATCTATTAGATCAGAGAGTGGTGACTCTTCCTGTCAACAGATGGCATCAGCTTCAACACTTCGTTGCAAAATTGCATCGAGAGAAACAGTTGAAGAAAATGGAAGGGAATCAAAGATATCAAAAGTACGTATTGTGAAACCCCTCTAAGAATTCATGAAAAAAAACTTTTTTTTCTCACATTATAAGTAGCTTGTCTTTTTATGAAATTTTCAGTAATAAATTTAACTGAATCAGAGAAATTTATATATGGATATATACACACAAGGTAAGAAAACACTCTTTTTTTTGCAGATATTTATTCTACTAATATTTCGATTGAATGGGATTTCTTGTCTTCTGCTTTTATAAAAACATAAACGCATATGATATAGTTAAAAGATGTTTTAAAGTAAATGTTACTGCCTCTGAGGCAGAGAATTTAAAGGTTAAGAACTTTTCATAGGGCATGATACAACCATTGCAGCTTTTTATGACCTGGAGTAAATTCATAAGACCTTTCCTCACTAGCCAGCTCATCGGTGTGCAAGTGCTCCAAGCCTTGTAAATCTGGAGCTGTCAACAGTCAAGTTTCAGGAAGAGAACAGCATGTACTCTGATTGGCAAGGCTCAGTCTCAGGATCACTTGATTACAGGTACAGATCTGTTTAAATTCAGTTGCATGTGTTACTTTACTAATCAAAGATGTCATGATTACTGGAAATGTACTGATCTACAGTAGTTGATGGTATATTCACATGAATGTCTTCATTACATATTTTAATGTAAGGTATATATACAATCTGAATGGTGGTTTATTACTGTGATTAGCAAACCAGTTAATTAATAGGAATAGCATTTTTAGATAAGTATGAATAATGATGAAACAAGTGTTGGCACTACATGACTTATTGTTTTATAACTAAGCTTAAATAAGAAATTGCATAAAGGCATTCTCTTAGCTTACAGTAACTATTATAACTCTATTTACAACTTCAACAGAAACATATTAGGTAAACTCAGTGCTTAGACATTTTCTGAATGTTTTTTGTATGAACACTCAACTAGTGTTGAACAGTGAATGAAAACTCCTAGTAGCAAAAAAAAAGACTTCAGTTACAAAAACATTTTTATCGTGAATTTATATAAATCACTACAAACATTTTACTAATAACTTTTTACCATGAGAAAGTACCATAAGCTGCTTGTCCAACAGCAACAACTCTGTTGTACACTTTCCAGAACAGCAGTTAGGACTGTAGTGGTAACTATGTTGTACAGTTTACAAAACATTAGTTAGGCTGTAATGGAAGGTATGTTGTAAAATTTCCAGAACAGTAGTTATGCTGTAGTGGAAGGTATGTTGTATAACTACTGTTCTGGAAATGGGCTGTAGTGAAAGGTATGTTGTATAGTTTACAGAACAGTAGTTAGGCTGTAATGGAAGGTATGTTGTAAAATTTCCAGAACAGTAGTTATGCTGTAGTGGAAGGTATGTTGTAAAATTTCCAGAACAGTAGTTAGGCTGTAGTGACAAGTATGTTGTACAGTTTACAAAGCATTAGTTAGGCTGTAATGGAAGGTATGTTGTAAAATTTCCAGAACAGTAGTTATGCTGTAGTGGAAGGTATGTTGTAAAATTTCCAGAACAGTAGTTATGCTGTAGTGACA